GATCAGTTTTTTGCCAGCAAAGACCAAAAATTTTATGAGCGTGGAATTATGCTACTACCAGAAAGATGGCAAAAGGTGTTGGACCAGAACGGTCAATATATAATTTAATAAAGTATTTGTTTATTATAAGAAAACTGTCTTTCATTTCCACAAAAAAAAAACGAAATGACTTTCCGAACAACCCTATAACAATGGATATTCCATTGATTATTTATTTAATACTTTTATGATATTGCTATTCCTGAAATAATATAATTCCAATAAATAATTATTTGGTAAAAATTGCTTACTTTTGTTGCGAATGATTGTGTTACATTTCATTAAATAGAATGTTTCTGATAATGTTTTATTATACTTATTTTGTATATGTATAATGTTCGAACAAGGGCAGGTGTAATTTGGTCGAATTTTTTAAAAGAACTACGGAAATACTTACGGGATCATCCTTTTTTTAAGCAGTAGTGTATGAATGTACATACCTTGTATTGTAACTTTCCTAATTTCTGTACTTCTGGTTTTTCCCCTTCATCTGGTTCTTCAGCATTTTCTGTTAATTCTTCCATATCGGGCTGAACCTGCATTGTCAAATACATCACTTGCTTATATATTTTTTACAGCATGAAAAGCTATGTTTTAATTAAATCTAAATTAACCTGGAACTTCAACGCATACTTTTCATGAATCTAGTGGTGCTGATTTTATAAAAAAAAGGGGGTGTGTGTCATTACATATAGCTGAAGTGAATACTCCTTACACCAATTAGTTGAATAACATAGAAGAGCAGTGAGGAAAAGAATAATTGTGACCAAATGCTAATAACACTAAGAATTTTCATATGACCATGTTTGACAAAATATCTTATTGAGACATTTGAAAGAATTTTCCACGATAGTAATAATAATATTAAAAGTATTTATTATATTAAAGTGAATTAACATTTTGAATTAATTTTTACTACTACATATAATCTCAATTAATTCAAAAAATTAATTTACTATTAACCTACCTATTATGAAATTAACCTTACAAAATTCGTCTAAATGTCTCAAAATTACTAATAGTTATATATAGATTCGACATTTTGTGACAGTAAGTCGTTGTTGATTCTGTCACCACTTAGAGGTAAAGCAATGACGCACAAAGTCAGGGACCCGGGTTCAATTCCCGGCGATAGCGAGGCACAAGCAACAATTTTTCTTAATTCATTTGGGGTAATCTGTAGTTGTAAAAATAAATTCAAAAATTATTCACTTTAACGTTTTAAAACATTTTATTGTCTGTAGGAATGAAGATTTGGATAATCTTTTTAGTGTGCTAAAGGTCTGCATAAATCGGTATTCGGTAACAATAATGCTTTTCCTGTGATTTGAAGAGAAATAACTTATGATTATCAGACAGCTTAGTTTTAAAACTTCATAATCAAATACAAAAACTGGATGTTGCTATTAGGCATTGACGGATTAAACATTTTTTTTTATGGATATACTTTTAATCGCTCCTAAACTAAATTTATTTAAGGGTGGAATAGATTTTGCCGTTTTTATATTTTAGTAAAATCGATAACCATATCAAAAATTAGTATCTACCTACGTGTAAAATATATTATTTAAATCGCATGAAGCATCTTCGAGTTGTTAAAAGAAAAAAAGCAATTTTTAGAATTGTTGTCGGAAATCATCGATATAGGAAACACTTTTTGACAAGATGCTGGAACGGTGAACAGAACTCTCCGTACCCAGCCCTCTTGGAAAGTAGTGGGTCAGTAATCGTTTAAAAAGTTTAACATGCTCTTGTCTGCTGTGGTATAAGAAGTATTCAGTTCAAAAAGCCAAGTGAACTCTATATATTATTTACAAGGACTACTAGTATGATACTACTTTTTGGAAATAGGTAATAGAAGTACCTAACATACTCTTTTCCTTTTTGCGAAATAAACCTGCAATTTACTTACAAAAACTTTTCGTTACTACAAATATGCGCATGTATTGATTACCATGCTAAACAATTTATCATGCATTTTTTCAAATCCCACATCATAGTCTAATAACAACAGATTTCAACGTCGTTTCTAAGCAGGCGGACAGCTCACTACGAACAGCGTGAAATAGATTATAGAGATAGTGCTCAAAAATTTAAAGAAATATAGATAATTGAAATATCGAAGGACAGACATGTGAGCTGAAATAAAAGGGGTGGCCGACAGGGGTGAAGTAGTCAAAAATAAAAAAAAATGGTATATCTTAATCGGTTTTTATTACTTCGGAACGACTGTCTGACAGAAGTTGTATGCTCTTGAAGCAAAATATGACCTTCATCTTTACCTTCGAGGTCTATTAGTCAAAAATTCTTTTGAAAATGGGGGTGAGTATTTTTGACCTCTGTGCTGGAAAAAGTGGTTTTAATATTCGGAAATATCCTTAAAGCCAAGGCCAGATTTAAATAAGGGCATTTGGGCTCTGCACCCAGTGCCGAATAAAATAGGGGTTCCACAAAGCTATTACCGCAACAAGTTTTTTCTCTTTATCCTATTTCATTATATTCTTATTTTATTTCCTACTTGTCCTCATACTCTATCCTCAAATTGATTTTACACTTATCTTATCTTATCTAAATAATGGTAATAGGCAGATAAATGGAAAGAATATCGAGAGAACTTATACGTAGCCCAAGAGTTAGGAGATGCACTAGAGAAGGAAGATTGTTTGGAAATAGGTGAGCTAGGATATCCCATAATGAGAGAAGAGTTTGATTTAGCATTAAAAAGTTTAAGGAATAATAAGGCACTAGGTATAGATGGGATACAGGCGGTTATAGAACTTGAGAGACACCATTAAAGACATAAAACTTTCGGGATAGACATACAGTGGCAAAAGATTAGTATGCTTAAATTTGCAGATGATATAGTAGTATTAGCATCTAGTAAGGGGGAGCTAGAGATAACCCGAAATACAATGGAAACGGTATTGACAAAACAGTATTGCATTAAAATAAATAAAAAAGGGTTGTCGGACATTCGATATGAACGAAGTTCTTTTCGCTATATGTGATGAATTAAAAAATAGGAAGCACAATGATGGAAGAGTAATAAAATTGCATGTAATATTTTTTTTGAGTTTTTGCTTATAAAGTTAAGAAAATAAATATTTTATTATTTATCATTAAANAATAAAAATATAAACAAATTATAAATTAATCAGTTATTTATCACATTCAATCTTAGTAATTATTGGTTTGTGATAACTGAAATATTTATTTATAGTGGTATTGTTTTGGTTGTATATTGTACTGAATCTCTATTAATTGTTAAGTTAAATTCATCTAAACAAAATTCTAGGAATACCTCCGATTTTTTTGTAGAAAATTTGATGTTAAAATCGCTAGCCAGAATAATTGGAATTGGAATTCCTATCCATAATTGGTTCAATTCCTCGGTGCAAAGTACACGATCGTCCCTCTATCTTTTTCTAATCTGCGCATGGCTGTAACAGCAAAATGTCGTACGTGTCGGACAAATTTGTGTTTTACACACATCCGTAAACATGCGTTAAGAAGTGGCTGGTTTTAGGTATTTAGGAAGTCAGTTGAGTAGCAGGCATATAAAACAGTGGATAGTTTGTTAAAAGTGTATGTCTGGAGCATGGCGTAAAACGTAGAAGGTTAAGCGTTCGAAATGTGGTGTTACAGACGAATGATGAGGATACTATGGATACAGATGCTTTGAAACGAGGAGGTATTAGATAGAATGGGAAGGCAGATAGAGCTATGGAAATCAATAAGAAATGGACAAGACAGGTTGGCAGGACAGCTTTTCAGGCAAAAAGGGCTAGTTAGAGACAAATTACAAATATAATAGTTAGGTATGTGGGATGTTGTAGTTTTAGGGAAATGTGAATATATATATATTAGCAAAGGATAGGAAAGAGTGGAGGTGTGTGTCCAACCAGTGTTAGGACTAAGAACTCTATGATAATGAAGTAAAGTTCTATCAGCTTTTCTACATTTATCCAAAGTAAGGCTATGGAATACAGAAAGAAACAAATCCGAGAAAAACCGATAAAACAAATTGGAAAATTTTGGGAATATCTACATTGGAACAGCCGGCGCCCCATTATACTTTTTTCCGGCGAAAACAGAGCAGAAAAATTTGAAACCGTTTTTTATCTGAAAATCACAAAAACCTTTGAAATTATGTACAGTAATTTGTACACTTTTCGTAAATCACCTTATTTGTTTCCATCAGGGGCCTGATTATTAAATTCAGCGCTGCTTGAAGTTCATTTTCTTTTAATTTTCCATATTCCAAATGGCGTTTTTTTTTTTAATTTTATGTCTACTTCACCCTAGTTCGGCCATTTTGTTCCAATCCACCCATTAACCTTTCGACAAACGATTTGAGCACTACTTCGATTACGTTATTTAAAATAAAATAGGGAACTTTCAATCTCTGCATGTACTTCTTATTACTAGTAGGTTCTCCGTTTGCTTAGAAACGTAACACCCTCCATTATGCTAAGTAAAATTTGTCGATAATCCGGATTACGTTGAAATCTTGTATTCAGTTCTCCGATCATATTAGTAGAATGAACGGAGAAATAACGAATTTAAGTTTCAATTTTAAATTAACTTAAAAATGCACATGCATGCAAGTACACTAAGGACGTATTTTTAATTATCAGCGTTAGTTGTAGTAGGTGGATGAATTCACAGCAGAGAATTAAGGGATAAACTACCAACGATAAATTTTACGTGACTGCAAGACAAAATGCTTTTGATAATGAAAAAAGCGACTTTTCTGTTGGTCGCCACCATTTATAATACACTTGATTTACAATGTGATCATTAGAGGCTTTATTGTTTTCACGAATCTGTTTTGGTTGATTATTTATTTCTTCTTTAAAAAGCAATAGATGGCAACCAACTGCATGCCAAAGAACTAGAATATAATATTAAGAAGTATTTATAAGGATTAGCTATATATAGGAACTGCTATAGTTTCACTTTATAGAACGGTTTTTGTTTTTCATATTTCCAACGCATATTGTTCATAGGTAATTTTTGTATATTAAATTATTGTAAACTAGTTGTTACCATATATATGTTGAACACCACATAAAACACATTATTTTTGCAAAACCTGCTAAACGGCACTATATTTAACAATATATAATATAAATTTCAAAATTTAAATTTTAAGTGAAAATATTAGAGAAGTTTTCGTTTCTCTTAAATGTGTTGACGCTGGTATTTTTATTTCAAAAAAAAAGTTTTTTATTTTAAATTTTAACTCTAAGTGCAATCAATTACTCCGAAACCTACGTGATACATATAATGGCATTTGTGTAGGTACAAATTGTGAATAATTTGTAAAACTAGTGTCGTTGATAGCAGGTTTTTGTATCTGTGTATGTGACAACAATTCTGGGAAGTGAAACTAACTTTTTCTTTGTATGACGATCCTAAAAGCTGTACCGATTTTAGGTCCACACCCTTCATGCCCTTCTTCCCATCTTTGGCCCTTCGTTTTCGGAAGCATCTTCTGATACAGCAGAAGCAGATTCCCAGAATTAAAATTGCCAAAACTAAATAAGTAATAATAAAAGAATAAATTTTATTCGAAAACATCTTCGTATCTTTAAAATTTTTAATGCTATTCGATCTAGTATATTAATAAGTAAATGCAATTTTCATAAGCCTTTGATTAATTAATTCAGTCGCTAGGTGAAATTAACTGAAAATGTTAGTTTACGCTTTACTTACCTATTAATATGCATATTATTACCGTAGGTGGTACACCGGACTTTTTGGATATATCTTCTACAGTATTTGTGACAACATTGACAACCTCCTTCTTCACTGACGTTTCAGCTAGAGATATAAAAGTAATGATAGTATATTAGCCGAAAAATCTTAACTAAACATGTTGTATATTAATGATCAGCAAAGCAAGACTAAGATCAAGATTGTCGTAATTTTGGTATTGATCTTCGTCTTATTCGGTCTTGGCCTTACTGATATCGTCTCGGTCTCGGTCTTGATCTTGCATGTTAAGTATTAGTCTTATGCATTTAATCTGCTTTTAAAGCTTTTTTTTTAATAATTCTTCTAAGCACAAATTTTCTATTTATAGTACAGTTAAATGAGGGAAATGACTGAAGAGTACCTTGTAGTGGAGAATACGATTGAAACACGGGTCATTCTATCGGAAACTGAAAATTATTTGCCCCGTATAGGGGGCGGGGGGAAATCCGCAAAAACAATTGCAAATTCGATTACCTCGCGAAATATGAATGATATGGAAAAAAGTTTCAATAAAAGTTTTTCACAATTCCAGTTTGCAAAAAAAAAATATTGATGGCTTTTTTCATATCTCTCATAGAACAAAAGTTCTGCGCGCCCAATGGCAAAGAGGCCTCAAAATTTGCGGAAATTTTTAAAAAATTCAAAATAATTATGAAAAATTTAAAATTGATAATTTAATCGATTCGTAACATATCTTTTATATTTCGCGAGATAATTGAATTTGCAATTGTTTTTGCGGATTTTCTCCACTCCTATGCCAGGCAAATAATTTTCATTAACATATTCGTGTTCCTCATAAAATTTCCGATAAAATGACCCGTGTTTCAATCATTTTCTCCATTATAAGATACTATTCAGTCATTTCCCTCATTTGACTGGACTAACAGTCGTCAGTGTTAGGTCCTTCGTTTATTAGAATGACAATTACAGTTATAATCATTATAGGGTCGTCAGCCCTAAGACAGCATAGCCACGCACCTCCACTAACTATTAGCCTTTCATGCCTACGAGGATGTCCTACCAACCTATCTCCTACTCTTTCCAATACCTCATCATTTTTAATGTTCTCTATCCACGGTATCCTCATCATTCGCCTGTAACAGAAGATTTCGAACAATTGTAAACTTTTTTCACTTACAGTAATAAGTAACCGTAGACATTACAGTCTGTAATTNTTTTTTCAATATCTTTCATATTTCGCGAGATAATCGAATTTGCAATTGCTTTTGCGGATTTTCTCCCCCCCCCTATGCCGGGCAAATAATTTTCATTTACATATTCGCGTTCCTCATGAAATTTCCGATAAAATGACTCGTGTTTCAATCATTTTCTCTACTATAAGGTACTCTTCAGCCATTTCCCTCAGTTGACTGGAATATTACTGATACAATAATTGTCTTAAATGCTGAATTTTTTTGTCATACATGTGAACTTGTCATGAAAATAGTGTCAATAGTTGTGAGAATTATGAAACTTCTTCTTCCTTCAATACATAAACTGACTGTTTCCCCAACGCATAAATTGAGCTTTTAGAGAACAAAATAGTAGCACGTACTTGAAAGAAGTAAAAAATATCGAAAAAAGTATTTTGCTATATTTCAACTGTGTGTTATCCGGACATAGGAACAAAGAACACTTACTCCGAGGGTATTCTTGTAGGTCCCTTTTTTCAAACACTGTTAAAGTTTCTTTTTTTTTATATTTAGTGTTAAAATCCAGTAAAGCAAACCGACAATTACAAATACTAAAATTACTAACACGAAAAGAATATATTACAGTTGCTTACAGTTTAACTAAAAAATCCACCGGAAGTACAATATTTTTCGTTTAGTCATTCGTATTTGGTCTTGGTCTTACATATTCGGTCTTAGTTTTAGTCTTGGTCTTGTTCGTTCGACCTTAATCTTGGTTTTGCTAGTATAATGACAGTCTTGGTTTTGCATTTGCTCAAGACGAAGACTAAGACTACAAAACCAAGACCAATTTTGTTCATCACTATTGTAGATGCCTTACAGATTAATTAAAGTACAAAATTAATAATTTTTGATTTTTCCTTACATGTTGTTGCAGCTTCGGTTGTAGATAAAACCGTTGTGGTTTTTTCCTGTGTAAAAGGAATGCTTTTTTCGATTTCTTCCTTTGATGTGAGAGGTTTCTCAAGGGGCTTTTCATTTCCAGCTTCCGTCGCAATTTCTCCAAAACTTAGGGTGGTTGTCAGAGGTTCGCTGATCGTTTCTTCGACCTTCGCTTGTCTTTTCCAAATGTTAAAACTTGGTGGGGCCATTTTACCCAATAACTAAAAAAGAAAGAGTACGACACACTACGTTACGCTTGTGGATAATAGCGACAATATTAGGATTATTATGGCGAATAAACCAAGTAAATATGTAATGTTGACGACGGAAATGAATGCGTAAATTGCTGATAAACGTTATCGTTTGTTATTATGTATTGTTTGAATGTTTTATGGAACAGTTCAAAATTGTTGAGGAGATGAGTACATCGTCTATAAGTATAATTAGATAGTAATAAAATAGCGTTCATATTTCAGGATGGGTATAGTATGATCTCGTTTTAAATAAATAAATATTAAGCAATTTTTTAATTTCGCTCATGGTATTTGAGGATCTTCACGGGTTGGGAATATATCAATTGTTAAGAAGAAAATGTATAAAATTATGAATATATTACAGTTATTATAGGTCAAACATCAAATTTCTTCATCTTCATTTTAGACTTGTTAACAATACGTATATATGTTAATTATTTAAATTATATATA